TTTCTCGAGTTATTGCACTAAGAGGGTCTTCCAAGGCAGTAAAAAAAAAGTCTGATACACTTTGCCCAGGGGGTCTGTACACTATGGCAACAATTATATTTTATGTTTTCGAAAATATCTCAATACAAATTGTTTCTTTACACTGATTAAAAACTTCTAAGTACTTACGGTTTTTGTATTTTATATCCTTTTTAGCAAACAACCTACACCACCTCCACGCTTATTTTGCCTACCATTTCCAATAAACCTATATTTAGGAATTTTAATTTCTTCATCACATGCTAACCAAGTTTCTGATAATGCAATACAAGAAAATGAGCAAGAAATACTGGCAAGAACACTATGTAAAGTATCAAGATTTCTCTTTATACTTCTGCAATTAAAATGTTTCATGGATAAAACTCTTTTATTTTTCAAAATAAATCCTTTACGACATCTTTATATTCGTTTGGAAGAACATAATCAGCATTATCAATTGAAGTATTATCTGATGTGTAATTTATATCCTGGATATCCAGTTCTATGCATGTTGAACATTCATGCGTTAACGGGGTTGAGATTTGCCTTCGACAAGTAATACATAGATTTGGGTGAGGAAACATATATATAAATTATAACAACATATAAAACACAGCTGAAAAAACAAAAAAATATAAGAACATAAAACTCAGTAGACTATACGTAGAGCATTAATTGTTAATTAACATAACCATTCTTCCAGGATGTATATAATTCATCAATGAATCAGATGAGATCAGGTAAGAAATACATGTTTATGTTCAGAGAGATTTTAAGTCTCTCACCGTGAATCACTTTGGTCACTTTGTTTTTTCCTCTCAACAGTGCTATTATACGACCATCTATATCAGTAGACTGTACGTTAAGCAGTAATTGTTAATTAACATAACCATTCTTCCAGGATGTAAATAAAGAGCATCAGACAATTCCTTCTTGAGTACTGCTCTTGTGCATCAAGTGAATTACTTATTTTCTGCATACGATGCTCCTGGAATTTCAACCTTTCTTTCAGATTGGTGATCTCACCAATCTTTTTGTCACTGATTACTTGAAGCTCAAGTATGTCACTCTTTTGTCTCTCCAATTCCTCTTGTAGTTCGACCCGTCGTTTGCTAACAGATGTTTCAATGAGTGACAGTAATTCCTTGTCATTGACAATATCTTTGAGAATCTCCTGGATAAGTGCTGCATTATATCATTTTACTTTAGATCTGGTTGCAGGTGCGCTCTCCATTGTTAACAATAGAGATCAGTGAACTATAGACGTGCTTTCAAATGTTCACAAATGAAGATTTAAAATACAGGTTCAATAAACAGTCAATTAGTACAGTAAACTATAGTTGATAGCCCCTGGCACCAAAATGAAGATATATGGGACCACATGTAGGTAATGTAAGCACTGACAGTAGTCATGAGATAGAGATTTCAGCAAATATTCAAGAGATATAATCCAATGTATGTTGAAAGGTTACCTTAAATCGTTCCTGGAAGAATAAGTAGTCCAATGGATCTTACATAACCTTTGAAAAGAGATACCAAGGTAGTAAAAAACAGATAAAATGGGTAAAGTTCATGAAGATCGATTTTCAGACTGCTCGCATGTTCTCTCTCTCGTCATACTATGTATTCAGATCACAGCCCCCCTCCCCCTCCAATATGATCGCTTCACTGAAGAACTGTTGAATAGGTGTATAGCATCGGGTACAAAAAAACCCTGGATACCAAGAGTTTTGAATAAAAGGGTCTATTGGATAGAACATGCATTACATCAGATGTTTAAATGGGTCCTTTTTAGATTATTTGGATCCGTTTTCCATTAAACGGTACATATATGGTTCAATGTCAGATAATTAATTCATACTTAACACACGAATTATAAATATGTTCTTATTTCATCGGGTACACAAACAAATTGCTTCAAAAGAGAGCGATTCGCATAATTACTAACTCAAGTTATATATCACACACAGAACCTTTATTTCATCGTTTAAAAACATTAAAAATACAAGATATTCACATTTTTCAGACAAGCATTTTCATGTATAAATATTCTCATAATCAACTACCATCCTTATTTCACAACATTTACAGTTTAAACTCAAACATTTACACATATCCCACCCGTTGTTCAACAAATTATCACTTAGAAAATCCTAAAATAAATTTAGCCCAAAAGTCGGTAAGACCTCATGGACCAGATGTTTGGAACTCCTTACCAAATTCAATAAGACATTGTTCATCTCTCTATTCTTTTAAAGCATCTCTTAAAAAATATGAAAAAAACTTAAAAATATGCAGTAGACAATTATCATACATATCTCAAATATTGGTCACATTAATTGCAACTCATGTTTGCAAATTTCGTATTCTATTCCGTATTCTTGGTTTCCTTTATTGGAAAGGCTACATTTTGTTTCCACTCCACCATCCAACAGAGAGTTACGTGCACATACACTATTCGCTACACATACCAACACGCACGCTTGCGCGCGCATGCACACACACACACACACACACACACACACACCATTACACACAATACACACTCGCACAGCACACTCACAAACTCATACACAAAGAACGTTTAAACACTTTTTCATTTTAAGTTTTACATTAAGGTTATTATTTTTTTTCTTTTTGAGGCCGCCATCCTAGTCAAGCTTTGCTTATGATTGCGGTCTCCTGCACTTTTTTCAACTGATATTTCGGATATCCGCCATTTCTCAGTAAAATTTGAGACGATGGACCAACGTTCAGCCAACGTTATCCCAAAGTCGAATAGCCAACCAAAAGCCACCATTTATCAGTAAAAAATTAAGGCGATCCGGACCAACGTTCAGCCCAGGTCGAAATACCAATAGGATCCGATAGCCTATCGGACCATCAGAAACAATTAGAGCTATTGGTGTCTATTGGTTTCAATAGGAAAAGTGAAAAGTTGGATGGACGAACAGAAAACTTCTATTGGACCAACATCCACCCACGTCTTCTATAGGTTCCTGTTGGTCCATTAGGGATCTTTCTATGGGTTTATAGTGGTCCCATATTCTGAATTCCCTGAAACCAATAGGCCTATTGGTTTTTAATCGTTCAATAGTCCATTGGCTTCTATTGGTAATCAATAATGACAAATTCAAAAATCGATTTTAGCAACTGTCCATCAAAAAGGTATATTCTAATCTCAATTGCATTAACTCCATCACAAAGATCACTTCAAGTGACTTTAAGAATATCCTTTATTTAACTTATACCTCCTTCACATACACGGATTTTCCTTACGAGTCCTTACGGATCGCACAAATTCACGGATCTTTCACGGATCCTTACGATTTGACCACTTTTACGATCGACTTAAGAGTTGTTACGAGATATTTACGGTTTATTACGAATTATTACGAGTTATTACGAGTTGTTACGGTAAAATTCCACGATTTGTTACGAGTTGTCATTGATAACTACGAGCAACTAACGTGTTAGTTACAAACTGTTTACGTGTTGTTATGAATAGCTACGAGTTAGTTACGAGTAGTAACGAGTCCGTTTTAACCAAATGATAACAACTGAAAATGAAGTGTTCGAATTTGCTGCCTTTAGACCTTTCCTCAAATCGTAAACAATACGCAAGTATACGTAAAGTATACGTATCTATTCGGAAAGTACTTGTACCTAAACGTAAATTGTACCTATACGTAAATTGCTCGTAATAACCCGTAACAATCCGTAAAGCCATCGTAACACGACCCGAATGAAATCGTAAATAACACGTAAGCACTCGTAATACTCCGTAAATAATCCGTAAACAAATCGTAAACTAACCTTAACAAATCGTTAACAAAATTTCTTACGAGTCTTTTACGGATTCTTGCGAGCAGTTTATGGATCGTTACGTGTTGTTGCGAGTGGTTTACTATACTTACGGATTGTTACGAGCTATTTATGGAAAAATAAATCCGTGGAAAATCGTAAGAATATTTTTAACATGTCAAAAAATTTGCCTCTCCTGTCACGGATACTTACGAGTGTCTGCGAGTTGTTGCGAGTTGTGACGAGCTTTTTACGGATACCAGTGAGTTATTTACGGATGCTTGCGATTGACTACGAGTTGGCGATTCGTAAGGACTCGTAAGGAAAATCCGTGTATGTGAAGGGTGTATTAAGGTTTGTACTATTCTATATAATAAACATACATGTGGTTTCTTGGTAAGTAATCATTATAATCAATATATCTATTGCTAAAACGTGAATGTAATTGAAACATGATCAGACAAATAATCTATTGGTCATTAATTGCCGAAAGAAAATGAAAAATCACAAAATTGATGTACATTGTCATACGTTTCTGAACAAATTATGAAAAATGTATTTTTCTGTTAAAACGTGTAAAGTAATCATGAATATGCATTTTTGTGAGGTATGTGTTCACGCTTGGATGAAAAGAGGGCATTGTTTGCAAGAGTGCAAAAATCGACATGCGCCAAAGTTGCTTATGTGATGTGTAAATAAAACAATTGTGATTTGGTTATTAAATCGGTTCTTGCAGATCCAAATAACATTCCTTACAAAATTAATCATGCCACACATATCAAATATCAACGAACATGTGTGCGCGTGTGTGTGTACGTGTGTGAATCTGCTTCTACAAAAAGCATATGCAATGCATTTCATTTGATTAATTCGATTCATTCTCTCTCTCCGCTAATCCCAACATAAAACATGCTGAAGGCATCACTTTTGCGCAAGTCGATTTTGTCACTCTCGCAAACAATGCCTCCTATTCATCCAAGCGTGAACACCTACCACCCAAAAATGATACCAAATAATTTGGGATAAAACATTCTTTCATAAGATATATAATAATTTACTGTTCATAGATGATTTTTATAATAATTAGCAATTTTTTTAGGTGTAAACTTATTTTTGACTCACACGGTATTGGATTCAATTATATGGGTCCAACAGAAACCAATAGACTGCAACAGAATTCGATTATTCGAGTTATCGAATCAGCGCATTTGTGAGAGAATGCAACGTAAACAATATAGTTCAGGGTCAAAGTTGTTTACGCTAGCAAAGTGCAGAAAGGTCAAAAGAGAAACTATTAGTTAAGCGCATCGCGCGCGATACCGGTAAAGTGCGCGCATTCCAAGTTAGCATGCGCGGCACAACAACTGAATTCGTCTCACATACTCAACAAGTTCCACTGGGGTTGGATGTTTTTCTTTTAGTTCTCCCAGATTTTAGGAACAGGAATATTCACGTAGGAACAGGAATATACACGTAGACCTATACTTTTTAGGTGTCTACACTTGAACAATTTTATTACCAAGACAACTTTTACCGTGCTGGCTCGTCGAGGATGGTTTAGCCCACACTATCGCCTGGTATAACTCTGGAAGTGATTATTCTGGATACATAAACTAAAGGGGATCTATAGATCTAGACTCTAGATCAAGTCTAGATCTAGCCTACTCTATAAACTAAACCGGACTATCGCGCTCGATCAAGCCCGAACTTGACAGTGACAATGGGGAAGAAAAGAGGCGGGCAGACGACTAAACGCAAAGATCGCGAGACCAGAGCATCAACACGGAATGTTAGTGTTACCACAGGACCCAGCACGAGAGTGACAAGGCCTAGATTTAGTACTACTAGCTCTAGGCCTACTAGTAGTAGGAGAGGGAGATACACGTCAAGGTCAATGCCAAGGGAGTCGGTGTCGCAAGATCAGCCAGTGACCGGCCCAGGGACGGTGGAGCAGGCGCCTGCAGCCCAGGCAGCAACACCCAGTCAGTCGTCGGGACGACCCTCGGTCGTGACACAACCGGGTGAGTTTACGATACAAACCGTCAGCTTGACATTACAGGCATTAGGCCTAGATCTAATGAAAGCATAGAGACCAATTCAGCCCTCGTCCCTACCGTATCGTTCCCTTCCATAGTACCAGGGCGAGATGGAGGTCTAAATTCAGACCTGGGGGATCATACGGGTTACTAGGCAACCAGGGGATGACGGCTCGAGGGCAGGGATACGTTCCAATGGAACAGTGTCAATCGGGTTTTACTGTAGTTCAAACGGGACAACAACTCATGCTTAAACCAATAGGCCTAGTAACAGCAAGAAACAAGATCTACAATATTGAGGCGTGGACAAACGCCTTTTTGACATTTGCGACTTGCAGGCACATCCAAACTTCGCACAAGAGATCCTAAAATATTGCCACCTCATACGGTCGGCATCGAGCAAATACACAGGGTACAGATGGCGGGACTATGATGTGGAGTTTCGCTCCCGTAAATTAATATCTAATAAAGATCGTGGGCTAGTATCGATGGAGAGTTGTGGCTCATGCACTTGTAGGGGGTGGGGCGCCTAGACTAACATTAACAACAATAGGAACCCCCACGGCTAAGCCTCCAAGAGTGGGGAGGCCAGGCGGGCCCAGACCATTTCAGTCCCAATTTCCCAGAACATCGGGCACCAAAAGTCAGGCTTACTGGAGTCAACCAGCCCGCCGGCTGGGCGGCCGCCAGCTCGGAGCTCGCCAGTCCGGTCCCGGTGTATGCTATGCACTTAACTTCAGACATGGAAAATGTGAGCGTCAGCAGTGCAAATTCCTCCACAAATGCTTGGCATGCGGCAATACCGGCCTCGGGAAAGTTACCTGCCCGCGGGCCCGGGAGGCGATCACCAGCCAAACCGCATAAAGCAGATCTAGTAGGCCTAGATAGTCTAGTAATTCTTAAATACTGGGGATCAATATAACGAAGGGACATCAATGGCCAATAATAATAAGGTTAACGTAAAGTCGGTACAAGATCATCAACTACACTCACTAGCTCCATCTCCCATTAAAGTAGAAAGACTAGTAGCAGAGTTAGAAAGATATCCCAATAAAAAGGCAGCGCAATTCTTAGTAACCGGTTTCACCCAGGGCTTCATATTGAATTACAACGGCCCTCGGTTGCCTGACGATCTACCAAATTTGAAATCGGCAGATCAGAATAAGGTAGCGACAAAAAAGAAAATCGATAAGGAAGTTACTTTGGGACGCTACGCAGGGCCATACGAGAAAAGACCCCTTCAAAATTTGAGAGCAAGCCCAACTGGCTTAGTCCCGAAGAAGAACCCAGGGGATTTCCGACTAATAAACCACTTATCCTATCCGAAAGGGTACCCGATTAATGATTTCATTGCCGATGACGCATGCAAAGTAGAATACAGTAGCTATGATACTGCCGTAGATTTAGTTTCTAAGACGGGAATAGGGGCTGAGCTAGCAAAAGAAGACATAAAATCTGCATTCAGACTGCTACCCATATCAACCCAGGACTTTGAATTATTAGGAATAAAATTCGAAGGGAAGTATTACGTAGATAAGTGTTTACCAATGGGGATCCGATGCGCACCGGCATATTTCGAAAAATTCTCCTCATTTCTAGAATTCTGTGTGAGGGACAGGCTAGGAACAGATAGGATAGTTCACTACATGGACGATTTTTAGCAGTAGGGTCGGCAAATGCAGGAGGTATTAAATGTTTAGGAATAATAACCGAATTTCGCTCAGTAGGCAGTGAATTAACTAGGTGTCCCTCTGGCTATGGAAAAATCGGAAGGGCCCTGTACAAAATTGACATAGGGGCCTATCTAGGCCTGGAGATCGACACCAGCGTCATGCAAGTTCGGATACCTGACGGTAGGTAGCAGCCTTGAAACAGAAAATCCGCAGGGCCTTAGAACAAAAGTCTTTGGATCTGAGGAATATTCAGTCGTTAATAGGATCCTTGAATTTTGTTTGTCGAGCCGTACGGCCAGGTAGAGCGTTCCTAAAGAGGTCAATAGATCTCGTGAAAACAGAAGACGGGTCAAAGGGTTCACGGCGTTTAACGGATGGAGCCCGTGCTGACCTCGAAGTTTGGTTGTCTTTTCTGGAACAACTTAACGGGGTTACAATCATTCAGCCTAGGCAATGGTCAACTGACGACATCCACATGAAAAAAAGCACGCCGCGTTTCATGCTAGTAAAGATAAGATTCTCAAAAACAGATCAATATGGAAAATCAACAATTTTTTGCATAAGAGAGAATGGCATACACAACAGTTGCCCAATTGCCGCAATGTATAGTTTTCTCAACTTGAGACCCAAAACCCATGGCCCTTTGTTTTGCCATGCTAATGGGGCCCCATTAACCAGGTATTAATTTAGAGCAGTATTGATTAAGGTGTTGATCTTTTCAGGGGTGCAATCAGCCCATTATGGCACTCATTTATTTCGTATTGGTGCTGCCACAATTGCTGCCTTGAATGGATTACCCACAGAAAAAATAAAAGAGATGGGGCGATGGCGCAGCGGGGCCTACAGGTCTTATGTAAGACCCTAGTCATATTAGAATAGAGATATCCTCCTTCCAAAGGTTATAGCGTGGAAGGTTGTAGTTTACATTAATAAAATTGAGAGTGCTCTTCCTCATCTCTCACATGAAGCAAATTATTGTAGTTGATCATAAGTTTTCAAAAAGTCATGTGTACAGTGTAAAAATAAATAAATAAATACAAAATAAAAAAAATAAAATAAAAAATAAATAAATAATAAACAAATAATAAGAAACCGATTATCGTGCTTACCAAATTATAGCACGGGCACAATATGATGCTCGTTTTAACCTTACCTACAAACAAGTCGAATAGGGTGGACTATGAATAAACATATGATCGCGAAAAGAATTATGTACATGTATACTTCCCCGAAGAACTCTTTTGTTTTCACCACAGGTACTCGAGCCCAACGGTTGTGGCTATTGGGGGATAGCTTCGTCAGGAGAGCCGGCGAGAGGGCATCCTGGACAGGCAACCACAACCTGGGAGTAAATGCAAGCGAGGTTAAATGGTTTGGCAGAGGCGGCCTAACCCTACACGAATTTCCGAGAGCTCTCCAGGACTTACTAAGGTACAACCCAGCTCCTACCATCATGATCATTCACGTGGGTTCGAACGACCTCGGCCGCTATGGAGCCAAGCAATGTCGACAGGCATTAGATGATGCCCTCACCACAGCCCGGGACTTATTACCGGGGTGCCATATTTATTTTTCAAGCATAATACCTCGTTTGTTCTACTATGGATATGGCCGTACAGTGCATTCGCAATTAGCGATTAATAAGGTGAGGAAATCCCTGAACAAATATGGTTGAAGAAAGATCAGGCGCATGCACAATGCATCGTTCATCATGCACAACTTCATTGCGCAAGAACACCAATATTTTAACAGGGACGGGATACACCTGTCGGACAGTGGATGTGACATTTTGATACAGAGTTTCGCAACGGCGGCTCGAATGGCTGGGTTAACTTAAAACTTGAAATCTCTGAGAAAACGCCGTTTAAATATAATGACTCCCTCAAAATAATGCACGTGAGTCTTGCGACTCAACACTTTAACATTTAAGCTGAATATAATATTATTTGTCTGCGGTACGATTGTATAGCAGACAAATGTTGTTTGTATCGTTAATGAATGCATATTTATGTTGGGTCCGGGGCTGTGCCCCGATGGAATGTAATTTGCATAGGCAGCTCGTACAGGTGTGCGAGCTAATTCTGCCTCGGAGACCAGGGCGTGGCATAAATTAGTGTGTAATTGAATCATTTTAGCTTGAGCTTTCAACGAGACAACTTTTATTTACAATAAAAGTGCGTTGTGTCATGTACTGTTACATGACTGTGTTTGAATAAGGTTTTCCAGAGTTTTTATGCTCGTTGAGTTTTATCTCTGGTTTTTTATCCTGGACCATGATAGGTCCGGTTTCCAGTGAAGGAAACGGTTTCCAGTGAAGGAAACGAGAAGAAATGTTTGTTAAACATTCATACTGAATAAACGGCCGGCTCTCAGTAGTCGTTGTCAGGCTATTCCACAATAATTGAAGTGTATTATTGTGTTATTTGTGTGTATTGGAAAGCAAGAGGGATGACAGACGAAATAATATGTGAGATTATAGGACAGACAGATCATTGCATAATGTATATACATGCACATGTCAATAGAACAAGGCAGAATCTGATTTGGACCATGATATGGCTCGTTGACGCTGCTATCATGGTTGTTTTGTTGTTGGTTTTGGTATGGCAGCTCGTCAAGTATACCTACATGTATATTTCTAGTTTAGGGAATAATGCCAAAGATAATAAGATAACAGTGGATTGTACAGATGAATACAAGGTGTACATGTAAATAGACGTTCGATCAAAATAGGACAGTCGACTAATGACTGAATCTTATTTGAGGCTGTGCAGCTCGACTGTACACGGGCAAACATGTTATTATTGTCTTCAACATAGTGATCGTGTTTAATTGATTTAACGTGGATTCATAGATCGTAATTGTTCATTTCAATTTTGCTCGGCAAAGTCACATAAAATGTGATAATGGTGCAGAGAATTTAAGCACCTGGCTTGGTTTTAAGGTTTGGGAACCGATGGAGAAAAATAATAAAAATAAAATTGTTAGTATTTTTGATAAATGCCCTTAAAGAGATGACTATAGTTTGCTTTGTTTGAATGGGTCCAAGTGACAACAGATAACATCATTTCATTTAATTGTTCGTCCATTTATGGCAGAAAGTAACAATTTAGAAAACAAAACAGACAAAACTATTTAAAAGGCAAAAAAAAAAAAAAAAAAAAAAAAAAAAAAAAAAAAAAAAATGGTTTGTATTGGCTGTTTGGGGTTGAAAATTGTCAAGGTTGCTTATTGCTATTGATATTTATGTTAATTGTTGTTCATAACAGGGGAGAGCGGTTTGGCCAATGGCAAGGAGGGGCTCTCAGTAGGAGAGGTTGTTTAGGGGAATCCGTAATCTCAGGAAACTGGGACTTCGGTTGGATGTCTTCCTCCCGGTTGGTCACGTGACCCGGGTTCCCCTACTTAGTATCTCGTTTTTATTTAGCCTCTCCCCTCTTCCCTGTACAAAAGTGCGGGTACAGATATCGCCCCTTTTTAATTTCATTGCATTTCTGTTATTTGATTGTGACATTAATTGTTGGACGGTTTGAAAGGGGGAAATTCTATCCCCAGTGGAATAAATGTTGAGAAAATGGCAAACAATGTATCCATGTTGTATTTCTTCTCACAATTCGATTATTCGAGTTATCGAATCAGCGCATTTGTGAGAGAATGCAACGTAAACAATATAGTTCAGGGTCAAAGTTGTTTACGCTAGCAAAGTGCAGAAAGGTCAAAAGAGAAACTATTAGTTAAGCGCATCGCGCGCGATACCGGTAAAGTGCGCGCATTCCAAGTTAGCATGCGCGGCACAACAACTGAATTCGTCTCACATACTCAACAAGTTCCACTGGGGTTGGATGTTTTTCTTTTCCCGCCTCCCCACCCTTCTACTCCTTAGACAATAAGAAAGGAGGAAATAAGAAGTAGAAAGTGAAAGAGCTCAAAGAAAGGGGGAGGGAAATTTACACAGCAGAGCTCGGGGAGGATAGATTTGAGACATGTGGCCAAAAAACAAAAAAGTGATGATGATTATGGTTGGTTGGTTTGGCTTGATGCATTTTAAATAAATGGTTGGTTGGTTGGGCTAGTATGCTTTTAATGAATGGATGGTTGGCTGGGCTTGTAATAATTCGTGTTATGGTTGGCTGGATGGGCTTGTATTCTTAATTGGAACAAAGTTTTGGTTGGTTGGTTTGGCTAGTGATGTTCCAATAAATGGCTGGTTGGTTGGGCCAGTAAGCTATTAATGAATGAATGGTTGGCTGGGCTAGTATAATGATTCGTTTTAGAGATTGGCTGGATGGGCTTGTATTCTTAATTGGAACAAAGTTTTGGTTGGTTGGTTGGGCTAGTGATGTTCCAATAAATGGCTGGTTGGTTGGGCCAGTAAGCTTTTAATGAATGGATGGTTGGCTGGGCTTGTAATAATTCGTGTTATGGTTGGCTGGATGGGCTTGTATTCTTAATTGGAACAAAGTTTTGGTTGGTTGGTTGGGCTAGTGATGTTCCAATAAATGGCTGGTTGGTTGGGCCAGTAAGCTATTAATGAATGAATGGTTGGCTGGGTAGTATAATGATTCGTTTTAAAGATTGGCTGGATGGGCTTGTATTCTTAATTGGAACAAAGTTTTGGTTGGTTGGTTGGGCTAGTGATGTTCCGATAAATGGCTGGTTGGTTGGGCCAGTAAGCTATTAATGAATGAATGGTTGGCTGGGCTAGTATAATGATTCGTTTTAAAGATTGGCTGGATGGGCTTGTATTCTTAATTGGAAGAAAGTTTTGGTTGGTTGGCTGGGCTAGTGATGTTCCAATAAATGGCTGGTTGGTTGGGCCAGTAAGCTTTTAATGAATGGATGGTTGGCTGGGCTTGTAATAATTCGTGTTATGGTTGGCTGGATGGGCTTGTATTCTTAATTGGAACAAAGTTTTGGTTGGTTGGTTGGGCTAGTGATGTTCCAATAAATGGCTGGTTGGTTGGGCCAGTAAGCTATTAATGAATGAATGATTGGCTGGGCTAGTATAATGATTCGTTTTAAAGATTGGCTGGATGGGCTTGTATTCTTAATTGGAACAAAGTTTTGGTTGGTTGGTTGGGCTAGTGATGTTCCAATAAATGGCTGGTTGGTTGGGCCAGTAAGCTATTAATGAATGAATGGTTGGATGGGCTAGTATAATAATTAGTTTAATGGTTGACCGGATGGGCTTGTATTCTTAATTGAAACAAAGTCTTGGTTGGGTGGTTTGGATTGAAGATTCATTTGAAAATTCGGTTTTGGCATTCTTTATTTTGAAAATATGCTGAAGGGTTGTGGCTCGTAGAGCCTTCTTGGACGCTGTAATTAAGTAGATATAAGTGCCCAGATAGATGTATCGAAGCTTATCATAACTCATCCTGCTATGAAATTATTATATGTATGTTTGGGGTTGAAAATTGTCAAGGTTGCTTATTGCTATTGATATTTATGTTAATTGTTGTTCATAACAGGGGAGAGCGGTTTGCCCAATGGCAAGGAGGGGCTCTCAGTAGGAGAGGTTGTTTAGGGGAATCCGTAATCTCAGGAAACTGGGACTTCGGTTGGATGTCTTCCTCCCGGTTGGTCACGTGACCCGGGTTCCCCTACTTAGTATCTCGTTTTTATTTAGCCTCTCCCCTCTTCCCTGTACAATAGTGCGGGTACAGATATCGCCCCTTTTTAATTTCATTGCATTTCTGTTATTTGATTGTGACATTAATTGTTGGACGGTTTGAAAGGGGGAAATTCTATCCCCAGTGGAATAAATGTTGAGAAAATGGCAAACAATGTATCCATGTTGTATTTCTTCTCACAAACCATTAGAGACCAATATAATTTGTATTATGGTCTCTATTGGTCTCTATGGGATTTTCGACCTGGGAGCCATCATTGGCCCAACGTCGACCAAAAGCCACCATTTATCAGTAAAACATGAGACGATGGACCAACGTTCAGCCTACGTTAGCCCAACGTCGAATAGCCAACCATTAGCCACCATTTATAAGTGAAAATGGCGATAATGGACCATTGTTAAACCAACGTTGGCCCATTGACGCATAGCCAACACATATATCAACCACATATCAGTAAAAATGGAGACGATGGACCAATTACGTTCGGCCAACGTTAGCCGAACTTCGAATAGCCAACCAAAAGCCACCATTTTTGTTAAAAATTGAGACAATGGACCAACGTTCAGCCAACATTGGCCCAACGTCGAATAGCCAACCAATAGCCACCATTTATCAGTAAAATGGCGACAATGGACCAACGTTAAGCCAACGTTGCCCCACTGTCGTATAGCCAACCATTAGCCACCATTTATCAGTAAAAATGGAGACGATGGACCAACAATTAGCCAACGTTAGTCCAACGTCGAACAGCCGACCAAACACCACCGATTATCATTAAAAATTGAGACGATGGACCACCATTGAGCCAACGTTAGCCCAACGTCGAATAGCCAACCCAAAGTCAACATTTATAAGTTAAAATTGAGACAATGGATCCCAACGTTCAGCCAACGTTGGCCCATCGTCGTATAGCCAACCAATATCTACAGTTTATCAGTGAACAATGGCGACAATGGCCCAACATTTAGCCAACGTTGGCTTGCCGACCTTTCGTAAACTGCTCGCAAGAATCCGTAATTGACTCTTAACATTTTTTTTTAACGATTTGTTACGGTTA